CGGAGACTCGTAGGAGCATCGTAAACCATATTCAGAGTCTAGGGAAGGAGCAATATGCCGATTATCATGAAAGCATTCATTGTGACTCTCTTCATCGTCCATGGAGAGAACAAGTGCTGCGTCGCGCAAAACATACGGCGCAGCTAGCTAATAGATGCCTCGCTGACCGCAAAAACGAACCCGGCTGGAGATTTACGGTAGAAGAAGAAGTCATGGCCAGAATGTCCGTTGAAGTGGCTTGGTGAGTATTGATCGAATTTCTGTCTGGCTTATTTATGACTGATTTTGACCTGTTCACCTGAAGTTCGAGATGTCGGGGCCGACTATGGCGATCTGAACGGGAAGTTGACGCTGGAAACACCATTGAGGAGGCTGCGAAACGGCTACAACAGCGTCAAATGCATCGAGTGCCTTGCCTATGTAATCCTAATGAGCTCATGGGAGACGACATGTAAGTCCTAGGTTCCCCGTACTTTCAAAGATGATTACTAAGATGAACGCGAGAAGTGAGCCAGGAATCAATCCTCTGTTCGATTGCCAAATAGATGAAGCCATAGTTTACCCTCCAATGCTTCAGTCCCAGTTGTCGAGGCGCGAAGAGAGACCGGATAGAGTGTACGGACTGCGGCAAACAAGGAAGCTGGAGCGCATTCTTGGTCTGCCAGACAAAAGACCCTCTGCAAATGGCCAGTGCATCAGCGACACCATCAGAAGCCATCCATTCCGAGAAGATATGGAACCTGTTCTTTTCCCTTTTCTCATTCTCGAGGCGAAGTCTGAGAAGGGATCGGACTCCCTGAGCGATGCTGCAGATCAAACGGCGTTTTCGATAAGGGAATTACTAGAACTCCAAGAAGGTCTCAGAATCGCAGCTGGGGAAAGTCTTGATTGGGAGGCCGATCCTCTTGTATGGTTCTTGTCTTATAAAGGGGAGGAATGGAAGGTTTGCATTGCGTATATCGACACCCAAAAAGGTCACAAGAACTATGTAAGTCGCTCTAAGAGAAGATGGTGGATCCTAACCTGACCTAAGATCTATAGCGAGTTGTTGAGCTTTGGCGAGGCGCTATCAATACAAGGGACAATTCACTTCGTCTCTTACTGATAATCGACTACATCTTGGATTGGGCTCGTGACATCTACCGTGATACTATCATCCGGAGACTTAAGCGATTGGCCATTTCTGATACAAGAAGTACTGAATACCAGGACAGTGATGTTTTCTCTACAACAGACAGAGTCAGATTGTGGGCAGTCGCAGACGAAGAAAACCGTGGATTGGGGAGTTCCGAAGGGGAAATATCTGTGAAGGATGGCTTTCGTTCATTTGATACACGCCAGGGAGTGATTCGCGATATTCGCTATATCCAGAGCAAGTTCTTGGGTATCTTCATCACAAGTGAAAATCTGGAAACCGTTCTCAATTCAACAAATACACAGAACGAATCTCAAGCTCTGGCGTTGTCTCTTCTCGCTCGTCTACTCGAAGGTTGGAGAGTGAAAGAGGAAACCTTAGACGCACTCGAGTCTGACTGGACAGGCAGAGATCGAGGCCTCCAAACAAACCAACAACGGAATTTTCTGGTGGTTGTCACGGTCACTGCGTACCTAACGCCAGACTGGGAACAGACAAGAGAATTATGCTACCTTGCTGTGGAAGAAGGTGCCGTGGATGATCTCCTAAAACACGCTGGCCGAAGACTTGCCCAAGATCACACATTGTCTGACCTTCCATTTGTAGGCAAGGATGCCTTCAGCAGTAGCATATCGACTTTCCGCCACCAGTCCGCGAAGGAAAACTTGTTAGCTTGCATTTCTCGCATTTGCCTTTCTACAGGAATTCTGTCCGTACAAGACAACAAGCACAAAGATGCCTTCTCTGTGATTTCAGTGGAAAGATCCGACGAAGGGGCCAAAGTTCGAACTGATACTGTGCTTAAACTTGATGCTGCACTTAATAGAGATTTCATCCGGGGCATATACGATAGACACAAAATTGGCAGAAATGAGCCGTTTTGTCCCTTTTTACGGGCCTCGTCCATCCTTGATGAGCTAGGTCTACCCGGAGACTCATCGCCATCGCAACATGAGTCTCGATGGTTTAGAGGCTGGCCGGGACTCCCTGATATTGATGAGCACCGAGTTCTCGTTGCATATTCTAGTAACCCTATCACAGGATCTGCCGCTCCGAGGCTGTGTCTTTTTGTCACTGATCCAGCTGGTGTTCGCTCAAGTAGATCATATTTCAGGGATTTCTTGCAGTCTGAACCGCCTTGGCATTTTCGTGTTAGAAGATATGACAATAAGCGAGGATGGTCGAATGGCTGGAATCAAGACTTGAAAGAATCGGTAAAAACGGACAAATCAATTCTTCGTCAGCTCGGGGCCTTTGTGGAAGCTCTTCAGGAGCTCGATGCGGACAGACCTCGAGAAATGGATGATACCGATATCAACGAAACTGAACAGCTTTGGGCTCCTAAGCGACCTAACACGTTATGGGATGTCTTGCTCACTGATGGCCTTGAATTTATGTCAGAGGCAACAACAGCCTTTGATATATCTCAAAATCAGCGAGCCTCGACTGGTAGTGTTGAGAATTTTGGGAGGATTCGACAAATACATCGAGAGGACACTCCAAGACAGAGTCTAGGGCCTAAACCAAAAAGCAAACAACCTGAGTTCATGTATCCAGTGGAATCTGACAACCATAAAAACGGCAATAGGGATAGCAACATGGGCCTGTCTGCGTCAACAGTGCAAAATATGGTGGCACAATATCAACAACGGCAACCATCTCTCAGTATACCTCATCCTCCCGTGGTAGGGAAGGAAGAAGCTTTACCCACTCATTTTGCGTCTTCCTGGAGCCAGCCGATTGTGATAGATGACGATCCGGGACCGTCCTGTCCGGTGTCGAGTAAACGCTGCACAAATTCAGAGACGCAAAATCCATTTATGTTATCGACAAAACGGCAGCGTATAAGCCCTCCACAAGAGGTCAATTCTGCTGTTGCCGGATTACAAGGTTTGTATATGGATGACGACACGGTTGCGAAATTGCTTGCCGATGGATTTTTCACTGATATGGAATGTAACTTGGCTGCGAACACATTTTAAAGGCTATTTGAAGATGTGGAGACAGACAACGACGATGTCCTGGATGTCACAGAGTACGTCGGCCCATAGGTGAGGGCATTAGTGGATCTTGAGTTGCCCTAGTCAGGAGAGATATGGGTGGAGTGCCGGCTGTCAGGACGTGCAGAATCTGCCACCAAATACCATGGTCTAGATGAGGCGGTAGGGTAGTCTCAGTAAGAAAATGAGTGGTAACGATAATGATTCAGGCGTTATCGTCAGCGAAGCCGAACGATGTAGGCCAGTAGGACAGACACTTGACGGGAACCCCGACGTTTATAACACGAGGGCGGAGAACATTAGGCACGTATTATTCTAGATGTTGCATGATCTTGGGGATGTCGTTTCCGTATAACTCGATCCGAATAGATCTTAGATAATAAAATCGAAAAACTGCTAAGAATCGATGGTGGCGAAGACGTAAAGGGAGGAGAATGAGAGATTATTGTAGTAATGTCATCCATATATAGACAATGCTTTGCTTCTTTAAGAGGTGAATTTGCTATTTGCAGATTAACTGTAATGCTCCAAATCTTGCCGTCCAGAATCGGAGGCGTCCTACCGCCTTAATAAGGGCTGAGGCCCCGATCGGGGTTCGCCGTTTGAAGTGCTCGCTGTTCTAGTGGCTACTTGGCATGTATACAAAACAGTCGAATCTTCAATTTCCGAGTAGGCTAGACTTTAATTAGCAGTAGTTTCATCTATCAAGAAGATAAGAAGATTTAAGCTAGTTAGAAAAAAAACTATATAATTTCGATTATACATAACGAATAGGTGAGCAATGTCAGATGGTTCGCTGAGAGCTATCATGGACTGCTCTTCACTACAACATTAGAGCTATCTTCGGTATCAACCTTGGCTCGACTTCAACCTCGAACTAATTTAGGATAGGTCTCTTGCCCCTGATAAATAGGGGCTTCCTGGTCACAGTAACCAAGACTCCCGATGGCGGCATGTGCCGTCTGGCAGTTTGGGTTGCGCCCTTGCTTTTTGTAGCAGACACTGATTAGCTGCTCCAGGTATGTGTGGTAATGAGCGTTTCGCAGCGTAATATCGACAGAGTAAAGTTGTGTATTAGTGAAGAAAGATGTTGTAGTAGATAGTTACCTTGGAAATTCCGAATAGAGATGGAGGGGAGTCAGAAGAGGAGTGGAGGAGTATCAAAGTGTGTTGTATCGCATAAGACTATTCGAGAAGGATTTAAGCTGAAAACCCAAACAGCCAGCAAGATATTTATTGCTACCAGTACCGTTGGTCTGGAGTCTAGAGTGCACTCTGTATTCGTCCACGTGACCTTGATAGTAATTTTGGGTGAGGAGATTTAGAGATATGATGTCGGCCACCCACAACTTCTCTCCTTTGTGTGTTTATATTCTGATCTCTTCGGCCTCTCATATCACACCTTGCCTTTGTCTGCCTTCAAGTTTGTGTTCACGGGCAGACCAAGCTTAGCACGGTCTCCACCAACACACGTCTTTCTCTTCCTTTGACGCACCTTGACACAGACTCGACACAACACAACACAACACGGGTTCACGATCCGGGCCAACTAGAGAAAAAAGAGGCAAAAAACCAGAACAGACAGCACCCCAGGTAATTTGAGAATGATGGTGCCCAAAACCCCCAAAAGTTCCCTCCACCGTCTCTACCATCTTCACTCTCCTTCTCGCGCAACTACAGTTTTGTCGCCCTTCCACCATCGCTACCATCGCCACCATCCTCTCGCTCAATCCGACTTCTGCTTTAGCTCTTCCGTCTCCAGCGGCGATAACAAGGCACGTCTTGCAAAACCTCAGGCCAAGGAGGCCGCGACAGACTACTACATCATCATCGACTCACGCAACCAGCCGAGCAGGCTCACGAGCATGGCCCGCAAAATCCTGAATACTATTATCAAGCGTACGTCTCTCTCATCTCATCTATCTATTTATCTGTCTGTTTGTCGATCTTTCTCCGTCATATCGCGCCAAACCCATCTGGCATCATGCCACCTGCAACATAACTACTCGCGAACCACCTGCTGACTCCAAGACAAACCAGGCAACACCCCGGAGCATCCCCCCCTACCGTCTTAGATCGACGTTGTGGCCCACTCCTCGGAAGACGGCGCCGCGATCCACGCCACCCAGTTCTCCTTCTCCGCCAAGGCGCGGTCGGTGGAGCAGATGGAGTCGATGATGACCAGCCAGGTAGCCCACGGCGTCGTCCAGGCCATTGGTCGCCTCTCCGCCTTTCCCTACTGGGTCCTTGGCAGCGTCGGCGTCAGCGTCGGCGTCGGCGTCGGCGTCGGCGTCGGCATCGTCGTATGGCTCACCGGCGGCAAAGATGTCGCGCTCGCTCGTGCGCGCGCTGGTGCTGGCTCTGGTGCTACTGTGGCAGTAGATGGAACTGATCGCGACTTCCGTCAGCATACGGCAAGCAAGCCACGCAGCTCAGTCTAGTTCTCGTCTCCGTCCTGGTCTAGTTGCACTGTCGTGGGTACGTTTGATTCGTTCATTATTTCTTTCCTCCACTTGAATCTGTATCTCGGTTGCCTGAATAAGATCAAGGCGCATGCTGACCGTCAACCAGGTTAAAATCAGCTACTCATGGTTTGACAACGGGTGTCACGGCCCTCCATTATTTTGCGACACATCCCAATACGTGTGGTATATAGCGAATTGTCCGAGGCTCGGATGACAAACGACGGAACATGTATTGTATTAAGAAATAATCACCACTCAACGGACTTCTACGCGCCATGCCTCTGCAGGCGCTACGGGTAATCAATAGGACACTGAACACTCATCCATGCACGCTTGAAAAACCCGTTATTGTGAACTTAGCCCTCTTCTGTATAACTGCCTAAGTATGCTTATATTTGATCTATGGTAGAGGTTTGATAATGCCGAACTTGGACCGGCTGCTCGGTGAATGCTCCTTCTTTGTAGCGAATCTATTACATTCTAGTCTTGCTCGACTTAGCCAAGTAAGAATACTAGCTACTTGTGGCACTGCCTCTCCTCAATGCCAGCTTACCACCCAAACTAGAATCAGTAGGCGAACCTCGAGGTGGCTGCTGAAAACAAGCTCGGGATCACGACGATGATCGCAACGACGTGGCATCCTTTGCTGGAAGGGGAAACAATCGAGAGGCATCCTTAAGTTGGTCAGCGCTATCCTCTAGCAATCTGTCGGCTCTACTAGGCCCCACTTCCAGAATAAGTAATAGGATACAGAGTAGAGAGAAGTCAAGCATGTCACAGCACACACAATGTCTGCCAACTCTTCATGAGGAACCAGGACGCTCAGAGGATGTCAACGGCGCCTGGGCCTGTTCCCCATTCTTGTAACTTCGCATTGATCGTCTTGTAAGACGGACCGAGCATCAGAAGGATATTCGCGATCACCCTAATAGTGAGGCGAGACGGACCACTTGGGTGACATGATTTGTCCGCTATAGCTGATCGATGTTGCTGATATCATTGTACATACCTAACATAGATCAAGTTCGAGAATCGACATTCAGACGACAGCTCCGTATGACATCATATTCCTGTTGTTCAATCCAACCCAAGTCAGCCCCCATGAGGTCAAATGTTAACGGGAGTTGGTTCGAGTCCTCGATAGATAATTATAGCAATCGTCGAGCCGCTATCGTTTTGAAAGGAGTCTTTCACGTCCAAGAAAATCCTCGAAGTACTGTTTATACACAGTACAGTGGAACGGCATGATTCGCATGCCATGTGACTCTGAAGCATTGTCTAGCTTTACGCATATATGAAAGTAAGCAACCAGCAGGCTGCGCGTTATACCGTCAACACTATGCAGACAGAAACGAGTAATGCTCGATGAGAAGAGGCGGATGTATGTGGAGATATCTCCTGGAGTTCTCGATTCTTATCTATATAGATAGTCTTCTCTGATAGTTACGAACGAAAATAATTAGATTAGTCAATAAACCAATTCTCAGAGCTCATATCAGAACTAGAAGTAAGTAATTTTCATGTAGGAGATAATCAAAGGCAAGGAAGCAGACACGTAAGATGTTAGGGTATCTGGAAACGAAGTCCTATAGGCCTGTAAGGCTTAGTTTTATTTTTGGCTCACAGCAACTTTAACCAGGTGACAGATTGAGGCTATCCCTATCAGCGCCGCAGGCAACACACCAAGCACACCCACCGCACACCCACTGCACAGGTTAAGCAGCAGCAGCACTGGCATACTCACGAAGAAGGAAATGGGCGAGGGTAAGATTTGGGTAGTATGTTAATCTGTAGTATCGTTGTGAACGCTTGTGGGGTATCGCTAATACTTTGCACCCGACTTCTTCTCACGGTCAATCTGATCCTGGTCGATAATGATAACTGCTTTCCCCCTTATCCTTCCTGCATGAACCATTTCGACCAGCTCTTTGATTTTGTCGAGTCCCTTGTATACACTTGTCTTTACTGCTAATCCGCTTTCAGCAATGAATTTGAGCATGCCTCTGCTCTCTTCCGGTGAGCAGAGGATACTGCCTTGGACCCTGACATCCCGGAGGGCTAGGTCTGCGAAAGGGATATTGACAACGTCTGGCTGACCCATCTGTACCATGAGTCCATGCATTTTCGTCAACGCACACGCCAAAGCTGCTGCATCTGGTGCGTCTGATATCGTGAGCGCAGCATCAACGCCCTCGCCGTCGGTTGCCTCTAGAATCTGCTTGACCACCGCGTCTTTGCCCTCCCGCGCGTCTGCAACAATGTCTGCTCCACATTCTTTTGATAACTCTAGTCCCTCGTCCCTCGCATCGACGCCGACAACCCTGAGCCCCCTTTTCTTGGCGAATTGAATGCCAATATGACCGAGCCCACCTCCCGAACCAACAATCGCGAGCCACTGGCCAGGCTTGAGATCAGCCTGGAGGACGCCTCTCCAAACAGTCCGTCCAGCGCACGCCAGGGGTGCTGCACTGAGAAAGGAAACCTCGTCAGGAAGCAAAGTTGTCGACCGGGCATCGACCAGCGCATATTCCGCAAAGAAGCCGTCCCTCTGAACCCCCGAGTGGCCCTCAATATTCGCACAGTACTGCCTCCAACTCTCAGGCCCTGTGCAATTCCGACACGTGCCGCAGGGGTGAAACGGCAGTCCGCACATTACCCTATCGCTGATTTTGAAGTCTGTGACCGAAGAGCCAACGGCGACGACGGTCCCTGCGCCCTCGTGTGACCCAGTCACGGGCAGTTTCGTGCCGAACGCCCCTGAGTGCACCAAGACATCGGTGTGGCAGTGAGATGCAGTGGCGATCTTGACTAGCAGATCGTGGGGGCCGATGTCTGAGGGAACGGGAACGGTGTTGACTTGATACGGCTTGCCATATTCGACGACCTGCGCGGCCTTCATAGACTTGGGGATGTCATGTATATACATAGTAAAATATTTAGATGCTTATGGACAGAGCAAAGTGAAATGAAACCTCTTCTTGGCAGGGATCCCACAAGAGTTCAAGTCGGTCCAAGCATCAATATGGGTATTTGCTGGGGTTGCAGAAACTCGAGATTATCGAGGGTCGAAGCATATGGTGTGAAGCTAAAATAGTGCTGTAGGTTTCGGTAATAGACTTCCGAGTCTTAGACTTCAAGACTCCTACTTTGAGACACAAAAAGTCAACTGCTTGGAGAAGACCCAGGTAAAGCTACACGATTCAAAGTTGCTATAAAAATTTCTACCACAGACAATGGTTTAGAAGAAGCCACCTCACTGTGAACTCGTCAGCTTGTAGTAAACGAACGTAACTACGGTTATGTATATCCTGGAGACACTTGTGAAACGGAATCCATCTGTCTTATATAGTTAATATGGTGTATAAAGAAAGAAGCAAAGTAATACATCTAGACCGACTTATAGGTTAGCGGTCTCTCATTGTCTTCCTCAAGCTTCGCTTTCTTCTAGAAGCTGGACCCCTAGGACAGTATTCACCTCGGTATGGCCATAAGCGAGTTGCTGGAAAATGGAGATGATGATTTCGAGAATAAAAGTTTGTGACTCATATATGAGCTGAATGTAGTTCTATAATTGCACTTCATATGTAAGTTCCGTGAAGCTCACTGCCACCCCATCTGGCGAACCACTGTTGTGAGACGATATTTCTGCTCGCATCAAGCGAGTGTGCCCGTGAATTGCTGACTGATTCAAGTATTTGAATCAATTTTCCAAATCAAACGTCGTTGAGTCATCTAATACGCTGCCAGCGTAGCGTACGTCTTGACGATGTTGTGAGAGCCATCCTTCGGCACACAATAGACCAAGATTCCCGTGATACAAGAGCGTGGTGGAGGGGCGACCCCACTTACACGAGACCAGTTGCTTGTATGCACTCATGGCGAGAGACTCACACGACACTCACCAATAAAGGCAATGGCCAGTATATTACGCTTAGAGTAGCTTGCCCAAGCCATCCTCTCTTTTCTGAGGGAAGGCTGGGCCGTTGACATGGCAGTTGGGAGTGGGGGGATGGGAATAAATGGGCGAGTGCCATTGCCAGGTGACACGGGGCGAATGACGGGCGAATAATGGCTCATGGGGAGCCACACGTTCATGTCTCACGATCTGATTTGGTCCCAGCCCGTGATCCCATGCAGTTACAGCCCCCCGGACGCGAGAGAGAAGGGAGAGCAAGAATGGCTATTGGTCAGCTGCTCTTCTGCTCTGTTGTCTCCATGCACATGCACTGCTGCTGAGTATCGAGATACGCTGATAGAGCGAGGACTCCACGAACGTGAGTATCCAAGTGTGACTGAGCTGTAGGAGCCCCTCTCGCCCAGAAGTGCAGCGGTCTAGGCAATGCAACAGGTGCGCCTCTGCGACTGTCTCAGATATCTGGGGCGCAACGGAGTCAGAAAGGGAAAGATTGAATGCTCATTGTGTCGTTTGTTTGTCTGACGATGACACCTCCCACCTTGATTTGTCTCGTCTTGGATTGGGGTGATACACACAATACACACACACACACAATAGATAGCAGACATACTCTAGCCCTTTCCGCGCCCCCCAACTGGCATATTCCGCTCTTGTGGTGAAGTTCTTGAAAGTGTCTGCAGCCACGAGTGCTGCAAGTGGAGATGGGCGAGGAGGGGCGGAGGGGCGGAGGGGTTGGTGGAAACCGAGTGAGGTCATAGGGCGGAGTGCTGCTGTCGAGGACTTCCAGGTTGCGGACGCACCCACGAGGAAGCCGAAGCCAAGGAAGAGGGATGGTGGTGGGACGGCCGAATATGTCCCTGATTTCCGCGATACAGCCTGAGCAGCACATCATCTCGTTTATCAGAACGGTACTCTCCCATGGTATCTGGCGAAGAGATGTTGGGGCTCACCAATCTCTACGATCGCCGGCCTTAGCTTAAGGTACCGGTACCTACCTACCTTAGGTAGTCTCGCAGCCCATGCCTTATGCCACGCAAAGGTGAAGTGTCAGCCACATGGAAGTATCCAAGAGTAGAGTTACGGTAGATGGGACGTGTGGAAAGCTGCTATCGTAACAGAGTTGGAGTTGCAGCGCAGGGCAGAACCTGCCCCGGTGAGCACCTTCACCTTTGAGAGGAAATTTCAATATTTCCTGGAAGCGGAGGAGGCTTGGGGGATGATAAGCTTTCACATAAGGTATAACGTTAAGGACCCTCCTGCAAACCTACTACCTAGGTATATAGCAGAAGCGTAGTAGGTAACGGTAGGGTCAGGCTTGGCCGTTTGCGCCAAGCCATGCCATCATATCTCTCTCTCTCTCTCTCCCCTCCCCTCTTTCGAGGGTGGGCACACGCACCGAGTAAGGAACAGCAAGCAAGAGCAGAGCAGGAAATGTAGCTACTGTAAGTCATGCAGTGTAGGATGTAGGATAAGAGAAACGGCGCAAGCTTGATTATTAGAGCTTACCAAACGCCGTCTACTCTCTTTTCAGGAAAGGCCCGTACTAGCATAATGTAGGGTAGGTGGACAGACTAACGTTACCTAACTACTATGTAAGGCCCAGCCAGGTCCGGCCTCTATCTCCAGACCCCTCCGCTCACTGCCCGATCTTCTTACCACCGACACAACCTTCACACAACGATTATTCCTTCTTCTCGCACTCCTCCTCACATTCTCCGTCTTCGTCCTGTTGCTTCTCCGAAGAGAGGCGGAGAGACAGAGAGACAGAGCAGAACAGAAGACAAGAGAAGAGAAGAGACGGGGAGAAAGATAACTGTCTTTGCCTCTATATTATATCATCGTCGTCATCATCATCAGTGTTGCTGTTGTTATTGTTCCTTGTATTTTGGGTTGCTGCCGTTATCCTACCCTTGCCAATCGTCGTCGATCTGCAGCCGCCGCATGCTTTCGGGCCTTACATCACATCACATAACATAGCAGCAGCAGCAGAGCATACCTATCTTACCTACCTTACCTTACCTACCATGGTCAATCACCACCAGCCTCACTCGGAGCCAGACTTTTGTATTTCCTTTCCACGCAGTCGCTCATCTCGCCGCCTCTGAACATTCGTTTCATCGTCTCCGGGCCCCGGCCTCTCTTCCACAACAAGACATCCCTCTAGCCTCTCTATTCAAATGCAATACAAGCCTACCCGCCTCAGTCGTCCCGCACGCACCTGAGCCCCGGTTTTCGAACAAGCGCCCTGCCCCATAATATAATCTGGAAGAGCAACCCGCGTGCGCCCTCCGTGACGCCCGTGACGCCGACATCTTCGCACCCACCCCGAGTCGCATCCCGAGTCGCATCTCGCCATCCAGCTCCGTATCTTCGTCTAGATCGAGCTCCTCATCATCATCATCATCTTCCAATCCGTGCAAATCGATTGATTTCATAATCGCCGCAAGCCGAGCCAGCATAAACGCCTCCCCAACCCCAATCATCGATCGCTTGCTTTCTACATAGGTGTCCAGCTCCTTCGCCCAAGGAAATTGCGCAACTGGACAGCATCGCATCCCAACGCTGGAAAGGCCACACAGACGCACAGGAATCTCCCCAGCGAGCGATTGCCCACCTGTCCCCTCGTCGCGCAAACGCATAGCAAACAGTTTTTGGCCTCTCCTGTCTGTCTCGTGGATTGCCATATCATAACAAGGAGCCAGAGGTTGCGCCGCATCATCACCGGTTCAGGCCCGTGACAGAGTTCCCGCCACCGATCCGATCGATAGACAAGCATCGCATACGCTGACGACACTCCGTCTGCCTTCGCACTCTCACGCATACATATCTCGTTCGTGCGTCGTTGGGAGCATTGCACTCGCGGCCGTCCGTGTTGTCAGTAGCTCTGTTCGGCCTGGCCAATCCAAATCACTTCCTGGAATCCCAACATCATTACCTCTTGCGATACACACGAGCGCGCATTAGGTTGGGCAACAAATACTGAAACGGGCCGCCGGTGCATCTCGCGCATCTCACAACGCTGCGCTTCCTTGTTCAAAATTCCCATATAGATCTATATCCGTTCAGACGATCCATCTCAACAATGAACGGGACACAGCCGCCGAAAGACCCTGCTGCTGCGGCAGCCCAACAGGCGGCGAGCAATACAAATGCGAATGGCAGCTCGACGGCGATCAACAAGAAGCGCAAGAAGGACGGCCTGAAGCCCATCATCACCACGGAAAACCCACAAGGGTATGTATATGCACCATTTTCTTTCTTTGTTTCTTGTTCTCTGTCCTCACTATTTTCTGCGGCGTTCTTCTTCTCTTCCTCCTCCTTGCTTCCTTGCCACATTTTCCCGCCTCAGAGAGCCGGCCGTGTTCCGCGGAATACAGATTACGCAGCGCAAGATCCTGTCACCCATCGCCGCTGCGCCAGCCAGCCTTCGAGTCGTTGGCCACCAGACGTGACTGACCGCCCGGCGAGTCCATGTGCTTGATTGTGCGCTGTGTGCGCATGTGTGTGGCGGGGCTTGCTGGGCTGGGCGGCAGGCATGTCTGCGCTGTGCGCTGTGCATGGGAGGGGGGCAGGCGGGCTCATGGGGTTGTGGTCTAGGGGCGATCAAAGCTTGAGGGGGCCTGTAAGAGTGCTTCCTCACCAGCGTTAACACCCCCACCTGCAACCTGCTGCCTCTCTGGCCCCGTCCCCAAGTCCACACGATATCAACGGCTGATCCACGCTGGCTGGCTGGCTTGGGACCTGGTTACCCTTTCGCACTGCACTATGCGCTCTGCTGCTTCTTGACCTGGCTGCCTCTTTCTCCCTGTCCTGTCTCCATGTTTAAGGATATATTACCCTCGCTGCGCGATGGAGGCAAAAAGGACACAATGCTGAAGACAAGGTCTTTGATTTCCCATTTCTCTACCTCCCCCGCTGCGCATGTTTTACCTGCACCGCCGCCGCCGCCGCCCCGCCATTCACTGATTGACTGACGGACTGAGTGTGCTGCGGGCGAAAATCCCCACGCCCGCCACTCTCACTCCCAGCCCACCGCCTTGTTGTTCCGCGCTCGTTCAGCGTCGAGCTGATGAGCCATCTTCCTCTACTGCTGCTAACCGCTGGACTTCTATGCAGAAATGCCCACGTATCATCCACGATGACCCAGTCGCCTACGTCGTCCTCGGGCCCGGAGGACCCCGCTGAGAACACTGCCGACGAGGAGGACTCTGAAGACTACTGCAAGGGTGGCTACCACCCGGTGTCGGTCGGCGAGAAGTTCAAGGACGGCAGGTACACGGTCGTGCGAAAGCTTGGTTGGGGTCATTTCTCGACCGTCTGGCTCTCGAGGGACAATGCAAATGGGAAGCATGTTGCGCTCAAAGTGGTCCGATCAGCCGCCCACTACACCGAGACTGCCATCGACGAGATCAAGCTTCTGAACAAGATTGTCCAGGCCAATCCTAACCACCCGGGTCGGAAGCACGTCGTCAGTTTACTTGACTCATTCGAACACAAGGGGCCCAATGGCACGCACGTCTGTATGGTGTTCGAAGTGCTGGGCGAGAATCTCTTGGGCTTGATCAAGAAGTGGAACCATCGTGGAATCCCCATGGCGCTCGTCAAACAGATCACCAAACAGGTCCTCCTTGGTCTCGACTATCTCCATCGGGAGTGCGGCATCATTCACACCGACCTCAAACCCGAGAACGTCCTCATAGAGATTGGGGACGTCGAACAGATTGTGAAGAAGGTCGTTAAGAGCGACCCTTCAGAGAAAGAGAACAATCGAAATGGGAGGAGGAGGAGGAGAACGCTCATTACTGGCAGTCAGCCGCTGCCTTCGCCCCTGAACGCGAGCTTCAATCACGCAAATCTATTCCCGTCGCCGTCCCACTCGAGTCTTGGACAGATGCTACATGAAGGTACGACCGCAACTTTGAACGGGCCAAGTCCCGCCGCCCGATGTGTCAAGCTGCTTTGACTATGTTGGACTTTTGGTGCAACAACTCAACTAATATGCATGATATTTAGGTAACAAGTCGAAAGAACCCTCTCCTAGACCTGATGAACAGCAGAAGCAACGGGAGAAGACAGCGTAAGTTATCGGCGCCGCCAATTGGTTGTCATCGATGCCATTTACTAATGCTCTGACATTAGTGATCTTCTTACGAAGGAGGTCTCTGGCATCTCCCTCGACAAGTCATCTACCAGCTCTTCGACTTCGACCGGGGAGAAGCGGAAGGCAGAGGACAATTTTGGCTTCGATATAATCAGTGTCAAGATTGCGGATCTAGGAAATGCTTGCTGGGTCAATCACCACTTCACAAACGATATTCAGACAAGACAATACAGGTCACCTGAAGTGATCCTTGGGGCAAAGTGGGGTGCGAGCACTGACGTGTGGAGCATGGCAGCAATGGTAAGGAGCCCTGTTCTGAGATGCTTGGATTCTCGACGAGATTCCGGTTGCAAAACCTCTTCTTTGCATTGTGCTAACCGCTGCTGTCGCAGGTGTTCGAACTGATCACAGGCGATTACCTCTTCGACCCACAGTCTGGCACCAAGTATGGCAAAGACGACGACCACATTGCGCAGATTATCGAGCTTCTCGGGCCGTTCCCCAAATCATTATGTCTCTCTGGGAAATGGTCACAGGAGATCTTCAATAGAAAGGGTGAGCTCCGGAATATCCATAGGCTGCGACACTGGGCCCTGCCCGACGTTTTGAGGGAGAAGTACCACTTCAAAGAGGACGAGGCAAAACGCATTTCCGACTTCCTTACCCCGATGTTGGAGTTGGTCCCAGAAAAACGAGCGAATGCCGGCGGCATGGCGGGCCNNNCACGTTTGGCTCGACGACACGGCTGGGATGAAAGGAGTCAAGATCGATGGCCTAGAGGTCGGTAGCAGAGGCGAGGGGATAGACGGCTGGGCAAGCGAGGTCAGGAAGCGTTAAGGACGTTCAGGGGGCTCTCCATAGCCCCAATCGCCTTCTATTCGATGTGTAGCGCGCCGTGTTTTAGCAGCGAAGACTTCCATCCATCCTGGGCGTCTCCATTTGGTGTTTTGTACCCCAATCTGGAGAATGAGCGAAAGAGCGGTACCGCGTTCGACAGAGGAATGAATCAACCAACCAACCAACCAACCAGCCAGGGCTTGCACTGCACTTGGGACTGCTCCATGTCAAACCTGTCTCCTTATAGAGTTCTAATTGTGTTCATTCCATACAAGTTCCCTCGCTCTATATTTGGTTTTATACGGCGAAATGGCAGGCCTTTTTGCGAAGAATGGGCGGGATCCGGTGGCCATGTGAGGTGAGTGTGGTATATGAATGCCTACGACGTGATGATACAGAGGTGGGGAGATATATCATGTAGTAGGCCACTTTGGTTGCATAAAAGCGCCTCTCTTACAAATTACGAATAGACATGCTTCATCTGGTAGAATGCTCGGCTCTGCTCCCTTTTTGCTGAATCTTTGATCTGTAGATATGAAGTCTGCCTGTCTGTCCGGAGCCGTTTCCGTCATACGGCACAGACCTCAACGGGCCAGGGACGCCTGCGAAATCTCTAGTGCACGATTTGATGGTGTCATTGCTTATGTCGCCTGGCTGATCTATCACCCCCTTAGTCCCATTTGCAATGTTATGATACAGACAATCTGAGCTGGCGTTCCAAGCCCTCTCCTTTCCCGGAATGGTCCCCTAGCTGCCTGTACCTCAGCGCAGCCTACGCAGTGGCAAGGGATCAATCACTTCTTCTTGCCCTTCTGCGTCATCTTCCTAAACGCCTCGATACCACCCGAACCGATAGGACGGAAATCGGTAGCGCGTTGTTGCGGATCAAAGGTGCTGCGCGGCGCCACCGTGTATGCTGTCGGCAGTCCGACGGGCCGAGCGCGGTTGGGGTTCACGACTGGCGCAAGCAGGCGCTCGCGCTCGACATCGGCCTTGGATCGCGACACCATGGTCATGGAGCCGTTAGCATTCAGGACTTGTCTTCGCTGAGCCATCTTGGCGGCGCTGGAGAGCAAGGGTTAGCATTTTCGTGGCTATAAAGAGGATCAAGGGGTCCACGTACTCGTAGTCGAAGTCGCGCGTCTCAATATGTCTCTTCTTGAAGTCGTCCGTCCGCTTCAGGATCGGTCGGCTCCATTCACCCAGTAGTCGCTCCGCCATGCGCTTGATCTCTGCCTGTGGCCGCTTGCTGCGGGTGTAGAACAGCACCACCTTTCCGATCCCACTGCTGAGCAATGTTTCCTTCTCAATGTTCAGCCGGGTCAGGGCGGTGAAGATCTCGCGCTGGATATTGTACGCTGGCAAGCTACCATCGTTAAGGGGCTCCAGGAAATACTTGACAGACTGAAGGAAGTTGGTCTCGGGATCGAGGACTGCGTGCTGGATGTTGTTGCGGTTGAGGAAGGCAATTACTCGTGGGAGTAGCTTGAGCTTATGGATGGCTGGCTGGCCCTTCTCGCGGGCGTCGTTGTCTGCTACGCAGGCGTTCTCCATTTGGATCTTTAGCTCCGCGATCTGCTCGTCTGCCTCGTCCTCCAGGTCCTACAATCGCAGGCAAGGTTAGCATGCACATACCTAGTGACTCCAAGCGAATCTAAGATAGAATAGACATACGACTTCGTCCTTCTTTCTCCTTCTCTTGGTGGGACCCTTGATCGCCGCATCCATGGCTCTCTCGAGTGCTCTGGCCCGACGCTCCTCAGGCGTCAGGTTCTCTTCGTTCTCAGGAGGCTCAGCAGCATCATCGTCTCTGGCCGCCCGTGCGCCGTCACCACGGGATTTTCGCGTGCGCTTGCCCTCCAACATCTCGCCGTCTGCAGACACGTCATCGTCGGTGCGGCGCTTCTTCTCTCGCCGGCCCTCTTTCGGCTTCTTGGCCGTCTCGCCATCCGGTCGCTTTCGCTTGGATGCCTTGAGGGTCTTTGCGATGTCCTCGTCGATCTCTACGGGGCGCTCCTCGATCGGAGCCGTGGTCGGATCGTAGTCCTCAAACTGATCCTCGTCGACTTCGGACAGGACGTCAGAGTCCTTGTCGGAGGCGTGGCCGCCGTCATCGTCGCTGGCGGGAGAGTCCCGAGCGTAGTCGTTTTCTTCGACGTCGGACATTGTGGCGGTCCAGGTGTGAGGGTAGGGAACGGCGGACGGAGGATAAAGAAAAGTGAGGCTGAGGTGGTGGAAAGCAGTCAAGCTGCCAGGAGGACAGTCGAAAAACTTCGAAAGATGCTTGTCCACAGTTTAGCAAGTTAGCACGTCGATCAGGTGGTCGTTTAATAGAGGAAGGGCTTTTCTCAAGGCTGGAGTCCTGATTGAGCCGTGTAGAGATGTCGCCTAGTCGTCGTGTGGACAATGGACAAAGACCATGGAGGCCAAAAGCTAGGAGGCTAAAAGGCCCGTGCACCCAATTAGGCTTGGCAGCTTATGTAAGGTACGTACCCTCCAGACCAGACTACCAGTGCAGGGTCTGGAATGGATGGTGCCGCCTCAGGCAGGTGCAAAGCTGGGGCAATTTGTTTACTTTCCCTGTTTGTTGCCATCGACGACACTACACTACATTTAGGCGGGCGAAATTCTGCCATGCTGCCCCTTCCCCAGTCTCTTAGTGGGAGGTGTGTCTGCTGAACTGTCTGCATTCTTTACTCTGAGCCGCTATTGTTTGACAACATTAAATGAGCACAACAACCTTTCGGCCTTCTACAAGATGAATCGTCGCACATTTGAGGGTCCCATGGAGTGGGAATACCAGAACCAAGGCCCTGTCGATATCTCCAGTCCCTTCGCTCAGATCTCTCAGAAATCACAGATGGGTGAGTTGCATACTGCTACGGAAACTTTCAACTGCTGCGCTAACGAACATTCGAAATGACAGCTTCCTTCGAGTCTCCGTCAAAATTCGGCGCCAGACAAGGTCCAAATCCCTTCGCCGCGGCTTCAACAACCAATCAGTCTCCCCTCAAAAGCCAGCAACCACAACCTCCTCACTCGTCTTTTTTCACCCCTCAGATCCAGAGACAGTATACTGGTCCGTCGTTCCGGAATCCGGCCTTCACGACGCCCCAGAGACATGTGGAAGACCCCGTGTTTAGTGAGATGTCGGGCATCGAGGATAGCCCGGCCATGACAGACACATCCGAGGTACCCGCGGATACACCTGACGTCGATAGATCAGAAGACTTTGCGAAGATGACCATCACACCAGCGACAGCAAACAGGACATTGTTTGGACGCAAGACCCCAGGCAAGGGTGAGGTACCCCGTGGGAAGCTAGATCTCCACCAGCGGGACAAGGTCCGCAAGAGAAAGCGCCAAGTTGGTGACAAGGATGTCGGAAGCGTTAGATCGAGGCTACCTCATGACTCGGTGGATTCTGAGAGTGATTGGGATGGTCATGAGGCGAGGTCGCGAAGCCCTCACAAGGGGCGCAAGGAGAAGGAGGCGCCTCGCCCTGGCTGGTTCCGCAATTTCCTCGGCGCCATGAACGACAACCCCGCTGTCCCGCTGATTCTGTCTCGGTGGGTGCAACTGTCGGTCAACGTCTTTATCATTGGGGTTTTCATGTGGTTGGTCTGGGGTTTTATCGCCATGATGAGGGCCGATCTGAACGCGGCAACGGAAGCTGAACGGGCCAAGCTATTGGCAGAGATGGAGGCGTGCGCGCACGAGTACACGAAGAACCGATGTGCGCCAAAGTCTGAGCGCCTGCCCGCTCTAGCGATGGTTTGCGACGAGTGGGAGCTATGTATGAACCGGGATCCGACCAGCGTGATGAGGGTTCAGGTGTCAGCGAAGAATGTTGCGCACATCATCAATGAGTTCTGCGGAGCAGTGAGCCTCAAGGCATGGGTAAGTCACCACAATCACTCTGGGACACATATCTTCGTTCATCAGATGCTAACAGTCTCTCAGGGTTTCATTCTGACCACGATACTCGTTGCGATTATCGCCAACAACATAGGCTTTGGACGCTATGCGGCTCCTCCTCCTACAAGCAAACCAGAGTTTCATCCTCCACAGCAGCCGGACTTCCCAATGCTCACGTCTCCTCAACGTGATCCAAACCAGGCCTACATATTTGCGCCGATTGGGCAGACGCCTCGTCACATCCGACGGGCCTTCTTACCGGCAGAGGGGACTGACACAGATGCGTCACCGGATTACAAGGCTATTCTGCCCCCTCCGCAGACCCCTTCCGGCCGAAGAAGCCCGAGCAAAGGAGACCGTGACAGGAGCCCTACTAAGAGTAGGAGAAGTCCAAGCAAGGGTTACTAGGCAATAGCACGTGTTCTTTGATTCTGCTGGCTGGGTCGGAGTTTTGTACATTAATGTGCCCAGGAAAAGTGTATGATCTGGACTTGGTGATAGTCGGCGGTCAAGGTCAAGGTCTAGGTATCAAGGGTTTTGGATGGAAACAAGACAAGCATTACATTTGAATGAACTGGAACTTGTGACTCTCGAAAAGCTTCTATTGCTTAAAACGGGATATGTATTCTTGCCTACGTTTGTTCAATGGTCAAAATCGGAAGACCCTGGTCGCGGTTTTAAACAGCCAATGAATTGCAATCTGTCTTGAAGGTTGCGAAGCCGAAGGGAGCGGAACTCCTGGCAATACGAATTAGAGTCTCCTCAGTCTCCGGGAAGGCTCAGGAAAAAGAGATGCAACGCGTCGAGGAAATGGTCCGTTCTGCTTCTGGAAAGCATTGAGGATGATCCCTCATTGAATCTCATTGAGCTTTGCCTTGTTCTCCTGTATTGTATCGATGCACAAGACAAGACATTTACCGATAGTCATGAGAAGCATAGAAAGAAGATCTGACGATCTGAAGATCCGATGGAGGGGAGAGTATCGAGGCCTGCTTAGGAAGCCTAAAATGACCAAGTATGACGTTTTATTTCTTGTCCAGTTTCGCAGCGATTTTGACCGGTCTGTGTGTGCGGGAAATTCCATGTTTGCTCTTACCGACCAACCACCTCCCACCTCCCACCTACCACTTACATGTTACCTGTCCAAGCCTGGCACGCCTGGGTGCTGCGATCCACAACCAACTTAGGCTTGAGTGGGGTTGCTTGAGACTTCGGTCAAGGCGCTCAATTATATGAATACGGCTTCGATAGGTGAAGCCTTGCTGTGTGTAGTTTTCAAGGAAGCGTGGCAAGTCAAGACACACAGCGGCACCTGAAGATGTGCATCTACATGTACACACATATGAGAAGACGGCACTGCAATTTAGCTTGCCCGACAGTGTTAGTTACAAGTCGGAGGTAGCTATCAGGGCTCTCTCCATCTCCAGCAGTCCCTATGTACCTTAGATAGATCCATAGGTGGGTGGGTTATGTCGGTAGGAAATAGGTAGGTAATGCAGGGAGCTCCACCACACATACAGTAGCATTCCTGCCCTGGTTGCAAGGTTGGAGGGAATTTGAAGAGGGGCAGCGAAACTAGTCAGCCATCTCCCCTTCCCAATTTACTACTACCTTGCCCACGCCTCAACTCCAAAACCTAGGTACCCTTACGGTAGCTTACAGAATCACGCACAACACAACACAACACCGTGGAACCGTGTGATAATTCACCTTCCTCTTCCAAGGCGCCTTGTGATGTGAATGTTTCTCAGGGTTTTCCTCTTCCATTCCCTCGCCCTCCCCCGCCGCCGTTGAACTCGAACCGATCCGAAGCCCTCTTCTCCTGCCCTGCCCGCGGAAGGCATGCATGCAGCTCTCGATAGCTTGCTCCTCGTCGAGTCCGTCCCGATTCCAGTCCTGCCGCCGCCACCAGCTCGCCACCCTCGTCCCCGTCGACTTTGTGGTTGATCCCCGTCGTCCGTCTGTCCGTCGCATCACAGCATGTCCCGGGTCTGATTCTCAACTTGTCCGCTTCGATTGGGTGGCAGCTGGCTCGAATTGACCCCCTAGGACTACGACTTACCTCTACCGCCCTGTTCCTGTCGCCGCGCCTACCTAAAGAATGTCCCCGCGCATATATCGTCCTCTTGTTGTGTTCTTCTAGCCATAGTCAGAGTCGGAACCCGCTGTATTAAGAGACACAATGGACCCAATGGATCCAATGGATGAAGACTCGCCCGCGGAGGATCACGGCCCTCCCGAACGTCGCTTGACCGATGCAAGCTCGAATTCGGCAACTACGACCAGAGCCCCGGCCTCGTCCGCCCATGCCACAAGCTCTGCCTCTGCCGCATCCTCCAAGAGACGGCGCGGCCTCGGCGTAGTGACCCCGAATGCCTGCACCGAATGTCGCAAGAAGCGCGCAAAGGTAACCGAAGCTCTCTGTCCCTCCCTTGTGTGCTTTGTGTGGGAGATGGGCCCCCCCCACCGCGGTCTCGGGGCCGCGCGCAGAAATCGCTAACATGTCCCCGCCTTCCAGTGCGATGGCCAACGGCCCTGTGGTAGATGCAAAGCACAGAAGGATGTTGAGTGCGTGTATGAGGTCCCCGTCAGGCAGTCCAAGGAAAATCTGCGCGCCGAGATCGAACAGTTGCGCCGGCAGCAGCGCTCCAACGATTCCGTCCTCGCCGCCCTCGTCCAGCCGCAGCTGTACGAAGAGGTGCTACACCGTTTGCGAAATGGCCAAAGCCCCGAGTCGATTTCTGAATGGCTAGGGGGGGCTTTGCCGTCCGCAGGAGGAGGAGACGGGGTTGCGGGCGGAAGTCATACACAGGTTTATGGGCGTCCCCTCGGTCCAGGTGGCGCATTTCCTTCCATGCCCGGCTTCACTGGCGCCAGTCCGAACCCTTACACCCCGGCAGTAGCATCAAACTTGGGCAGGACTGTCAGTCCAGCAACGGGCCACGCGCAAGGGCTCCGGCCGGATTTGGATCAGAACAGCCCCTGGGGTGGTCAGTTTTCCACAAATAGCCAAAGCGTCTCAACAAGGAGTAATTCTCATCCTGATGTTATGGACTGGGGGCCTAGCACGCGAGGGCCTCCACAATCCCGAGTGGGCTCCTGGGTCGAGAATGTCAATCTTCCTCATGGTCCTGACGGACAGCGGTACCGCGGACTAGACCAAGTTTTAGCTCCGGAAGTGCCTGAGATGAAGGTGCCCGCGGGCACTTGGACGAATATCACCGGAGACTCTGTCCTCGTGCAGCATCTACTTGCGCTCTATTTCTGCTGGGAATACCCTACGTTTGCGTCCCTAAGCAAGGAGCACTTCTTGAAGGACTTCCGGGAAGGTCGGCATCGATTTTGCTCTCCAATCCTGGTGAACGCCATCCTCGCCCTTGGCTGTCGATTCTCCAGCCAGCCGAATACGCGCGCGAACGCCGACGATCCACATACCTCTGGAGATCATTTCTTCAAAGAATGCCTCAGGCTGTTCTATGAAGAGAACGACCACCACAACCTCACAACTATCCAGGCCCTGGGGATAATGTCCATCCGGGAGGCGAGTTGTGGGCGAGACTCGGAGAGTTGGTATTACGCCGGTCAGAGCATTCGGCTGGCAATTGAGATGGGTTTGCATCAAGTTCATGACGAAGGCGGCCACGATGACGAGACGGCGGTCCAGGCGGCGACCTTCTGGGGAGCCTTTGCTTTAGACCAGTGAGTTCCCATTCAATTGCATTGCGGACGGTGCTAGGTCCCAATATCTGATCGCTCGTAGTGCATGGTCATTGGCCACAGGTTCTCTACCACAATGTTCCTGCTTTCCTCATCTCCCGCCAAAGCCGGCGATCATCGACGATATAGAGGCCTCGTTGTGGATCCCGTATACAGATGATGGTACGAGTGCTGTGGCTATTCAGACTGTAGTATATTTCGAATATTGACCTTTCACTTCTATAGGGGCCCCCTTAAAACGCTCTTGCGAGCAGCCGTCTAATGTGCGATCAGTGTATAGGTGCTTTTGCGAATTGAGCGAGCTCGTTCATCAGTCGCTCTACGTCTTGCACTCGCCTGGCCGCCCATTAACAAGCCGGGATCTACTCAATATCTATACCCAGTATCTGAACTGGTATGATCAAATCCCTGAAGTACTGCGCCTCGGACACAACTTCACACCGGCTGTGCTTTTCGCCCAGTAAGTGACTCTAGTCCTCTGCACCGTTCTGCTTGGCGACATCAATGCTGATACTCCCACAGTATGTATTACCATTTTGCCATTCTTCTACTCTTTCGGCCACTTATTAAATTACGCATCGTTGGCTCGGCCATCTCTCCGCGAGACGTTTGCTCTCAAGCTGCCGATGCAATACAGGGACTTTCACGCTCATACTCCCAGCTTTATACGCTTCGGCAGACCCCATCTTTTGTTCCGTACTTCGTTCTTACCTCGTCAATAATGCACTTAGCAATCGCCGCTGCAACCCCTACATCTTCGAGACATAGTGATGATGAAAGGTCACCAAAAACGTCATCTCGCGCACAACAAGACCCAGAGTCCTTAGAGGCAACAGATACCCGCGTGTCAGAATCAATCAGTCGTGGTATTGCTGACCTCACGGAGATGGCTCCTTGCCACTACTTTGCAGAACAAGCCTTGAATATCCTGCGTTATCTGGCCAAGAAGTGGAATATTGATGTCAAGATCAGTGAGGAGTCGAAACGTCTCGCTCATGAGGAGCTAAGCCCAGACCGTGATGTACGGCCGCTTACGAGCAGCCTGAATTTCTTTGTGCCCAATGTTGAGGAGCAAGACTTTATCTGCACTTGGGGCTCCGGGAAAAATCAAACAAGCGGCGTGGAGTCCATCTCGACCTCCGCAAATTCGATGGACAATCCCTTGTTCTGGCCTTTTCCTTTGCAGGGCAGACCGATACTAGCCAGTGGGCAGCTACTCAAGGAATCAGGCTTTGAAATGCTATGAATTCTTCTGCGTCAGCCTCACATGGAAGTACTCCATCCTATAGACCGTTACACATCGCTGCGGAAGATGTGGAACGAGAGATGACCATATCCAAAGCAAGCCAACGCTTCGTGCGAATACAACTGCCATGAGATGTACAAGTCTTCTCGCATATTAGAGCAGCAAAGCACTCGGGAGCATGGCCACATAAAGTCACAAACAAAATGCGAATTACCTCAAGCCCCAAAGGTTTACTATTTTTATTTTTCTGTCCACCCCCGATACCCGGTTACGCATCAAGTACCAAGAAGTACTCTGTGGAATCTGATTGGCGTCAGAAATGGCAGGCGTTGGAATCAGGATTGGTATGCAAATGATGTGCATAATGTATCCATCCTGTGTGGGAAAAAGGAAGTCACATTTGCCTGTAAAATATATCTAGCGGTTGAAGGGGCTCCCCTGAGTA